AAGTCTATTTAATCGAACCTTACATTTTTGACTGGTTTGATTTTCAGTTTATTACAACACATTTTGGTTTTCAGTATGAAAAGTACCAACGACATTCCTTCCGTCCTATTCATATTCACCTGCCATTTACTGGATTTGTTTAAATGTTAAATCGTTTATAAGTTCTTTTACTTTTAAAACATTGCTAATTTTGACACTGTAAAAAAATAAAATAATAAAAACAATTCCTAACACTTTCTTTCAGGGAGTATTATGTTAATTAACATTATCGATGTGTGTACATGCAACGGTTCTAAACAACTAACTTAATGTTTAAATCCTGCTACACTTCTTATTTGTAAAACAAAAAATGTAAACAACTTAGCTTTATTGTAAGCTTACATAGATACTATGAAACTTTACTGGTTTTTTTTAACTTTTTTTTAGTTTAGCTGTTAATTTATACTGCCATGACCATATCGCTTTATTATGCGAAAATACAAACACGATTATACAACTTATAAATGGAGAATATGCAATATCTGGCGACATGTAAATGCAGCAGTTGTCAGCCTACTTGTGCTTTGGGTTACATCTTGTTCATATTTTGAAATTTCAGAAACAAATTAATAATTTTGTTTTTAATAGTAGGATTATATTTATTATTTTAATGGTTCATAACCAAAGTAGCAAAATGAATATACACAAATTTTCTAACTTTTTATTTATTCTCTACAGATTTCGGCTTCGCATTTGAATACCCCTTTACTATTACTTTTTTTTTACTGGGGCTAGGCGACATCTAGGCCATTTCAGCCCCCAACTAAGTCTATATTCTTTTTACCCTTTCAAACACTACATTCATACAAATAAATACATTCATAGTTTGGTCGGTGGAGTGCTTGATATTCCTCCACCGACCTATACTTAAACTAATCTAGATTGGGGTCGATGGAGTACGCTTACGCTCTCAAAGTTCGAGGGGCGATGATGACGTTTTATTTCATCCTCACCCCTCGCCATTCACGCTAATAAATACATGCACTCAGACAAAACATATAGACACAACACATAAAACATACTATATACAGTAAAAATAAACCAATTTCCCCTAAAAAGCGGAACAGGGGACTCTGAAACTCGCTACCGTGTTCGAGAACTCTTCTAAAGACCGGCGGCATGCCTACACGCTCTCTGTATGGAGCCAAGGCATGATTCGCCTGTATTATGTGGGACACATCGAACCACCTTTCTCTACATAAGGTACTATTACTATTATTACTTTTCTATTATTGGTCCGTTTTGAAAAAGTGCTTCAAGCAACGTTGGAATTTTGGATAATATTTTTTTCAATTATTTGTATGTAAGACGGGGTTTGGTCTAGAGCCAAGCCATAAAAAATTAATAAATAATTAAACATTATTAAAAAATAATTTAAAACAAACAATTAACTTAATATGCATCTAAAATCTCTGAAATTTCAATGTTGGGACGTTAATATAGATATACAACCTAATATACAAATATATAGAAAATATTTTTTAAAAATATGTTTGTCTTAATTTCGACATGTGTTGAGCACATGTTGAAAAAAAAAGAGCATGAAAAGAGCAATAAACCATTGAAGAGGACTTCAAATGACAAGTTGAAACCGGAAGTGAATACACAAAAAAAGAAAAACTTCCCTTTGTATATTAATTGCTAATAAACCATTAAATAATAATTAAACAATTAACTTTTAGCAATTTATGTCTAATAAACAGACCTTTAATTATTAAAAATTTTAATTTATTTCTATTCATTTTTTTTATATAATGTTTGTATAAAAATAAATAAAATCAACGAAACAAAATTATTGATTACTAGAAAAGACGTTAACAATTAACAGAGTGAAGTTTTTATCAAAATTATTAAATGATAAGAAAATATGCAGTTGAGGAAATTTATTGGCCATGTTTAGTCGAATACCGTTGGATCTAATGAATCTCTACAAAAAAAAAATTTGAATTCACTGAAATATTAGCATAGTTCACAATGTTTCTTTAATGAGAAAAAGCATTACGATCATATTGAGAATTTGAACTTTTAAATTTTAGAACCGGCAAACTACATTGGTCATGCCAGCCCTCTCTCTTCCTTAGCTTTACATGTTTATCTTTCTCGTGTTCTAATCCTGCTAATTTCTTTTTCTGTTTATCCAGCAGAGGTACGATATTTTATGATACGACTGTAACTACTCTGTCTTTTCATTGTCCTATTGCTAGCCTCTCTGTACCTCGGAGCCTCGTCAATTGTGGATAAAATAAGATAGATAAATAACAAACACAAAAACACAGAAAAACAGGAACAAGATAAAAACATGGTAGTCTGGTTAGCCTTCGCACTACCCAAGAATATCCGATATTCCTCGGGTAATTGGAGATGAACCTCTCTATTCACGCTAATAAATTACAAATAAACAGCATATCATTCACACTACCCAGAGTACTCGATATTCCTCGGGGCAATATTACTGTTATTTTATTACTAGTATTATTACCGTTGATAATCCTTATGGTCAGGTAACTTGATATACTTACCACGTCTGATGGAAAAGACCTTATTGCTCTCAGATTTGGTTTATCAACATTATCTCGTATATAAAGCCTTTACGAACGTTACCTATATGGCCATTAAAATCGTTATTTTAATTACTGGGTAGTTTTGAACGCAAAATATGTTCTTTTACCCTTTATTTATGTGTTAATTTGTTATATGTATATCTCAATTCTCAGAACGTGCGGTATGAACGACGTTCCTCCCATTGTATTTATTTTACCCGCCGCCCTTTACAGTTTGTTATATTACATGTAAGCAAAATCAACAAATTTCTAATAACTTGTGCCATGACGTTTCAATCCTATTACGTTATTATACTGCAAACATTCAATAATTAACAACTATTTTATGTGGAAAGAAATATAGTGTAAATCATAAATTTGTCAAAAGGAACAGAGAAGAAAGGCGCTAGAAGGACAGTATCGTAACATAAACTGCTCAAAAATGAATAGGAATATTTGTATTTTTTTTTCCTTTTTAGTTTTAATTAAATTAACAGAATATTCTTGCTAGTTGGATAAAACAAAATATAAAATACAAACCAAAAACAAAGAAAAGTTAATCCTCGTTTTTAATAACGGATTTACTGAAGAATAGTTTACATGAAGATTACCATTTTGTATTGAGATCATCTTCAGGGCTCAAAGTGTGTTTTTTTGTGTAGATGTGCCATTGCTCTGTGTCGTAGGCACTCTCAACACGACAGACAGCAATGACACATCTACACAAAAACACACACACATAGCATTCTCGATGGAGTTATCCAAAAAACTAAATCTTATTTTCATTTTCAAAAAATTCCAACGATAATTCAAGAACTCGATCTCTTAATTAACCAAGTCGGGGAACTTGAATTGTCCTAAAGGGGAGAAGGAAGAAACACTTCTAAGACAAATGAAGACCTAACAAACCGGGAAAAATACGATAAACAAAATTTTAATTCACAAAATAAAATTTATAACGGTGAAAACACTTATACACACTTATAGCGTACAACCGAGATAATGTTCAAAAAAATCATATCATAATTACAAAAGAAATAAAATTTACAAAGATAGGAGATATAACAACCGAAATAATTTGTTGAAGTGGTGAAGAGCGGTCAAGAATGAGGTAGTTTAGAAAAAACCTTTTTCATTTTTTTACCGACATTCCGACCTTTATTCGGATCATCTTCAGACCCTGGGTAAATTACAAAACATATGCTGATTACAAAAACTACAATTTAAATTGTAAATATAAAATATAATGTAAAAATAAGTTGTATTTTTTCCAATCAACATGTTTTGTAATTCACCCAGGCACTGAAGATGGCCCGAAAAAGGTCGAAACGCCCGGAAAAAATTAAAAGGGTGTTTTTCTAAACTACCTCATTCTTGACCGCTCCTCACGACTTCAACAAATTATGAAACAAGAGGTCACTAAGAAACACACATTTCTAATCGAAATAATTATAATACCCAGAATACCGCGAAAATAACAGTACGAATAACAGAAGTAACGAAAATAATAACCAGGAGAAGGGAAACATCTCTCAGGAGTGGGGAAACTTTAAAAGGAATAAAAAAATTAATTATCCTCTACCCCATGTGAACTTCAAGTCCCAAAACCCATTCCTACAACCCCCTCTGTATTTCTATTCAGTCTTTATAATTATTTTTGTGTTGTATTCAATTTATTTTATTTTCTGAAATGGATGTGAACTGATGGCTATACATGGATAGTATCGGATTTGTGAGTTGGGCATATGCAGAAGTTGTCGACTTGGGAATTTCTGATTACTCGGAGAAAGTGGTCGAATTAGTCGGAACAAAACTCGTTTGGTTCTAAATTAAAAAAAGGTCTAATCTCAAAATAATATTATTGGGGTTATGGACATTTGGAGTGCACTGTTCCGGTCAGTCTTGTTTTTTCTTCCCATTACCTTTTGTCGATATGTTTAAATTTGAATGGACGTTCTCTGTTTTTGACGGAGTGCATATAAGTCGCGACTTTCTGATAACTTGTGCGGAGGAGTGTGATAAGAAGAGTGGGCACGGAAAAAAACAACAACAGTTTTTTTTCCGTTTGACAGAACAAATACAAAGAAGTCGGAAATAAAAGATATCATTTTAAGACTTATCGATAGAAATTGTAAAATTTGTAAACACACAAAAAATTGAGTTATCAGCGAATTAGAGAGTTGGGTTTGTTTTGACAAATTGATTTTTTTTCTCCGTCTGGCCCGGCGGGAAGCGCGTCGCCGCGGATCGCACCGTGAGCCGGTGGCGTTTCCTTTACCTTCACTACCCGAGCCGGTCCGACAATGGAATCTGTGTCAAAAAGTATCCCGAGTTTCGACCCGAGTGGCATCGTCCCGGCGGGTGGCCCGGTTTACACTCGGAACTGAACGAAAATTGTAATAATTAAGCATTCCTGTTTACCTTCTGTGGGCGGTTCGACTGTCGCCAAGACTTTACCGCAGAGCAGGCAAGCAGCGAGGGCAAGCAGGGTCTCGGATCGGCCTATCATTGCTGCTCCTTCTTCATCAAAGTCCTCACTGTCACTGCTTTAACTTCACAACTCGTCCCCACGCGGATTTGATCCTATTCTCCTCCCTCTTTCAAAACTTTTTGCACATAATCGGAACGACGGCCGGTTCTTAAGGAGAATTCCACTTTTCTTTTTGCTCTCCGACAAAACAGAATCTACAAAGCTTCTCTACTTGTATGAGGAACAACTCCGTCTCCCTGAGCAGCACTGCGTCTATCGATTAGCCGAGGCCGACTAGAGTGCGCCGTCATACACTAAATAGCCCCAGCCTGACAAATAGTTAACACGACTTTTTATTCAACATATTTTCAAAATTATTACTATTACAAAAGTCTATGTTTTAAATTAATTTTTTAGAATAACACAACAAAATTGGAAAAAATGTATTAATGTATTAACACTTTTCAATATATTATTACATATTAGCCAATCCATCATAAAATCAATTAAAATATACATTAAAAGAAATATAACGATTAATTGTTTACATAATTATTGATAAGCGTATGAATTATATAGTTTGTTTGGTAGTAATTTGTTCATACAACGTCACTTCCGTAAGGCGGTTAAAAACCCTCTTTTCTTTATAAACTTCCTGAAAAAGACAGATTTTTCATGTTTTAAACGATTCTTTTTTTTAAATTTATTTACATCGTATTACAACTACCCTCATTTGGGTACCAAGTAACAATGAGTGTGTAAAACAATTAAATAAAGAAGAGTGGAGAAACTGCCCACTGGCAGAACTCTGTGTTCTCTATTTAATTGAGATTAGTATCACTAAACTACTCATTTGGCCATCGTCTTTTTAATTGGAGGGTTTAGAGGAAATTAGCCGGGATGAGAGTTTTGGCAATAACAGGGTGGATTACATCTTGGATAAAAGGAATATTTATGTCTGTATGGGTTGGACACCTAAAAGGGAGCATCAAGGATTTTTCTGAGGATTATGGATCTAGGATATTGGAATGTTTGGCTGAACCCCCACAGTTCCAGCCCATAATCCATATCAGCTTCACAATAGTTTTATAAAGCAGTCTTGTTCAATGGAGGTAAATTAGACCATTTATCAAGAGTCATGAGAGTGCTTTGTAGTATTTCATAACTTTGTTTCACTTGGGTGTGAAGAGTCCATGTTTGTTTTAAGCAACATTTTTTTTATGTCATTCACTTTATGAATTTATTTTAATATACAATTTGACTAAACAGAACTAGCATTCATCTAAAAATTTCTACTCAAAATTTAATAATGTATTAATGAACTTCCCGGTTCAATTCTAGGGACTCACTATATAGAAAGGCATAGGGTTATTTGTTTTGTGCAGTTTGATTAATTCCAGTCTATTTGATTATATCTAAGGTCTTGAGACCGAAAAGCAAGTGTCATGAGCTGAATTTGAACCTATGACCTTTGGCTCAATACCCCCCTGGCCTAACCACTTTAGCTATTGTGACTTCGATCCAGTTGGACACCAACTCATCTTCTCAGCCAACAACCTTTCGAATTTTACCTCTTTTTGCCATATTTTTTGTCTCAACCAAGACCTTAGATTATAAGTGTAATTTGATTTAAATAATCAATACGATCAATTATGATTACCAGATGCATATATGGATTTTTACCACTGTTGTTCTGTCCACTATGGTGTCTAACATTTCTAGTTGATTAACAATCAACAACTATATTATATTATCTTGATAGAAGACTTCTTACTCTATTCTATAGACTGTTATTATTTATCTTTCTCACTCTGTTCCCCAAATGGAAACATCCAAAATAAACAAGTATCGATTATTGGGTGCTAACCACTACTCCTCTTCAGCTGTTATGTCTTAAACTACAAAAACCATATGCACAGATTCATGGAACACTCCAGGTTGTGTTCCATGAAAGTGGACATATGATTTTGGTAATTTTAAGTCATAACAGCTAAAGAGGAGGAGATAAGATTGTTAAGAAGAAAAAATATTACTTTTTATGAAAGTTATTTTGGCTATCCCTGTATGATTTTAGCTACAAATAGAATGGGAATACTTAAATTGCCTAATAGCCCTGGTCTTGAGGTATGTTCCAGGCCAACTAGCCAAACAAGGGGCAGCCCTCTCACCCATGGAACTGGAACCTCAACTAGGCACACCAGACAGTTGTGCTAAAGTTGGGGCTGGAAAAATGGCTTGAGAAAGAAAAGCGCAAACAACGAACCAAAAATACAATGTATGAGGCAAGCTAAGAGATTATAAGTCTCTTAAAACAGAAGGCAAAGGTATTGCTGTCTCTCAGTAGGAAAGATTTAAGGAAAATTATACAGCACTACTATCTTAACTAGCACCTAAAGAAAATAGGCAAAGTAGAGATAGATACTTGCCAACCCTATCAAAACTGATAAGAAATTATTGGTATATATATCCTTTATAAATTCACTAGGCTGGAATCATATGCACAGATATCCAGCCGCTGAATATGGTATAGCAATTTTTGTAATTTCTACAGATTCTAGCACCAAGAGAGGCGCACTAAGTGGTACAAGTAAAGTGCTTAGTTTTATAAGAAGAGATATACTTTTCTCTGTATCATCTTCATCATAGGGGTTCTTCGATAGGCCTATACAGGCCACAGTGGAGAAAACATTATGCTTTTTCCATAATAATCTATTATCAATGTGGTTTTCACAGGGTTTTAATTATTGTTTCTCCTTTTAAAGACAGTGTACAATATTGAAAAAAAGTGGCAATATTTTTTTTTTTTTTTTTTTTTTTTTTTTTTTTTTTTTTTTTTTNGGGTTATCGGGAAAAAATGGCCAGAGGCGACGGTGGGAATCGAACCCACGACCGCGGCGTGAGAGTCTCTCATGCTAACCACTCGGCTACCGCGGTCCCCAATAATTAGAAAGATAAAAAAGTTGAAAAAGGTTTAGATAAAATAGAAACATTTTATTAGACATAATCACTGGACATAAATCAACATTTATATACATATAAAGATAGATCAGTGGATGGTAACTGAGATATTACCAATTTCTCTGAAGGATGTTATATCAGTCTCATACTGAAAGGACATTATTATATTAGAAAGGTAAAATAATGCAACTATTACTGAACATATTCAATTTTTTTATTTCACTATACATCATTCAATCATTCAACATACTTGCTACCTACAAGTCTTTTTCAAGAAAATTTTGTGTCATGGTTCGTAATGTTTACTCCTAACTAATTTTTAAATATTTCTTAAATACAATACATTCACTGAGATTTTTATTAGGCAATTTGCTTAAACCTTAAACTATGTTTACAGAAAAATCACATAACAAACGTGGGCTTTTGAGCACCTATGGACCATTAAAAGCTAGTATATTGTAATTATATATAAACTTGCCTGAAAATAAATTTAGAGCAACACATTTAAAAAATTAAAAATTAAACAGCAATGGATCCTTGCCTAATTGGAAACTTACAAGGCACTAGTGGTTATCAACTATGAAAATATGTAAAAATTAAATTTAAATAATAGAATTGGTCATTTTTTGAAAATAGTAGTAAAAACATTTATCATGTCACATAGTTAATTGATGTTTAATTAAAGGTTTTAGCTTCAATTAACAGAGTATATTTTTATGAATAGACAAATTTCGGAAGACAAATAAATGTTACTCTAAATAAATGTTACAATGAAAATTACAAAAACAATTTTTTATGGGAACAATTTTTTTTTATTTTACAAATTTTGTAACGTAAAATTAAATTAATTAAGGTTTTTAGTTGAGATAAAATTGTAATATATTAATTGGTCAAGCGGACCACAAAATTAGTGAATTTATTGAGAGTAAAATTTAATCAATAGTTTTATCACATATTCACATTTTAAAATTGAATTACAAATTAGTTAATTTTTAAAATGTATTAATATTACTTATGACAGAATGCAACAAATAGTATTGTCATCTGTTGAACTGTTGAACTAGTACATACACAATTGATCTGATCCATTCACTAATAACGAAAACTAATAAACGAATAGTATGTTATATAATTATATAAACCATCATGTCTTTTCTTTAATTTGTAACTGATAAACAAAACATATAAATAATACACAAAAATTCCAACTAGAAAAATAATACATTTTAAATTATGGTTTTCCTCTATCACAATTGTTCCAAAATATCATTTCACTAAGGAAACTTTAAGTACATCGGAATGTAAATGATTCAAAGTAAAAAGAAATGTCATGTCTGTATGTGCTAAAATATCTATGTTATAAAAACCTTCATAACACACAGTTCCTTTTAATACAACATTACATTTAAAAAATCAATACAAAAATAAACATGTCACGTACAACAATGCTGATATTTATAGTGCCACAACTTTCTTTTAACATACGACTTCCATCAGATTTTGTCAGCTTTAGTTATGAATAATTTAAATATAAGATTTTAAAGGCCGTTACATCCTGGTGATTTTTAAAATTACATTCACTGACAAAAAACTTTTTTTAAATATACATTTGGTAAAAATTATATATCACAGTGTAATTACTTTGGCTAAAGTACTATTTTTATCCATGCTAAACTAAATTAATAATTTATTATAGTAAAACTTTAAAATGTTGTTTTGTTACTAATCTGTAAAAAGTACTTGTACTTCCTAAGCTTAATTTCAAATCGTTGAGTCAAAATATTATTTATAACCAAAGAATAACATTTCAATCACTTTTTTTTTTTAAATCCATTCTTTTCTTTTTAAAAATTAACTTCCAAATAAGAAACTATTTTTAGTTTGATGATATAAATAAAAACATGATATGTAATATATCAAATTTAGAACAAAGAAGTTTGAGTTTTATCTTTTTGTTAACAAGACAAAACAAAATGTGTAAGAATAATAATAACATGAATTGATTTCCCGTTAAGTGTTAATGAAAATAAATATGTAAACAAAACATCAAAGTGGAAGGAAATTAATTAATCATTTGTAATGTTGAAATTTTCAGTATAAATCTGCAGAATTTTCAGTCTAGGCCTTTATTTATATATATTTAATTAATTGTTACCTTCCAGTTTCATTTCTGACCGCCAATAAAAATATTTCTTACGGGTTTTCTTCCTCATCGAATGAATTTTTTCCAGTTGTGCCATTAGGTGATTTTAGAGGTTCCTTTTGTTCAATTTGAGGCAATTGTTTTGTCTCCTTAGGGTAATTCCATGACTGAACCTCAGATGTGCCAAATGCTTGATAAACGAAATATGTGCCAACAGCAACTATAGAAGTAATGCCAAACACTTTTCTCCATTGTCCCAATGTTGTCTAGAAAAATCAATGTTGTTAGTATCGGCCTTCAATGTTGAATACATACAGTTGGTTTAAGAGGATTGTGGTGTGAGAACTCACACTTGATTCTATCAATCCAATTTAAAAAATCTGATAAAATATTATCATAAGTTATTGTATTTATTTTATTTTTTAACTCACGTCATTTTTCAGGATATATCCAGCTACAAGAGGTGATATGAAACTTGCACTCATATGAATGGTTTGTGCAAAAGCCAAAACTGGTCCTGAAAAAATAAATCAATAAATAAACATTAAAAAGAAAACATCCCATCTACAATCAAATCTCACCAGCAAAATTAGGGCCAATATCGACAATGTTAGCCATTGCTCCAGCATATGATGCTGTTATAAGTGTAACAGCAACAAACCACAAGCTGAGGACAAGTGTTAAATTGCACCCCACAAATCCTATTAAAAGAACTAATATGCCTGGGACTACTTGAGCTGGAATAAAATAATAAATCATTAAATTTCCTCAACTCTTTCCGCTAAAAGTATTTCATATACTTACATAAAGCAGTAAATATTTTTCTAACTGCAGTGAGAGGAATAATTCGTTTAGTTACAAGAATATCTGCTACATAACAGAAAACAACAGAGGAGAGATAGCTCAAAAGAAATGGAGCACCATTAAGAATTCCATTCTGTAAATGTGTGAAACATTAATGTAATAGGAAAACATATATAAGACACACTATAAGAAGTGTTCAACCTTTTGTATGCTAAAACCTAAAATCGTTTTCATGTAAAGAGGTCCAGGAATGATGAATGTATAGTGAACCCAAATCCTGCCAAACGTTGTAATACCTATTGCCCAAGCAGGCAACGATGTCAAGATGGAAATCCAAGGAACTTTTGTAATCTAAAAAATTTGATTATTTCACCATAATAATTTTATTTTAAAATTAAATTAAAATCCATTAGATTTCATAGTCCAATTGACCAAATAACCTCTTTGAATTAATTAACCTTTATGTAAATTAAAATCTTCATTTAAAAAGCACACCTTATTTTCTGCAATTGTTGTAGCAGTGCACTTCTGAATATAAGCCAATTCTTGTTTTGAGATGCGAGGATGTTCCTGAGGAGTATCAAATGCAAGAAACCACCAAAATACACACCACAATAGACCCAGAGAGCCTGTTGTATAAAACACAGGCCTCCAACCATAATGGGCAATTATAAAGCCACAAATTGGATAAGTCAAACCAATACCAATTGTAAAACCTATAAAATTTAACTCTTATTAAAACAAAAAAATTAACATTGTAAATGATTTACCCTGAAATGATGACATAAATCTACTCCTTTCTGTAGGTGGAATCCAATGTGCAATCATTGAGTACATAGCCGGCCAAGTAAATCCCTAAAAGTAATAAATAAATTGACATTTACTAGGAAAGAAATATTGCAAGAACATTAACAGGAAAACTTACAGAAGCCACTCCTTGTATAGATCTTAGAATAATAAGAATTACATAGTGAATTTCTGCACCTTTTGGTATAAGCATAGATGACATTGCCGTTGCAAGTTGGGAATAACCAAATACAGACTTTGTGCCAAATTTCTGCACCAGGAAACCGCCCACTACTTGGGACAGGACATAGCACCAATAAAAGGAACTTATAATTGTGGTTTGAATTGAAGGATCCCAATCAAATTCTCCCTCTTCCTGAAACAAACAGGCTTATATCAACATGGAAATTTAATTGTTTTAATTAATATTTATTTTAAATTATTACCTGACTAACATCAACTTCTTCACTGCTATTAACGCTTGTATCATAACAGTACATCGGCTCAGACCCTGTCTTATTATACACACTGGGAGTTTTTATTTTCGCCATTACAACCATAGCAAGATTAATATCCGTCCTCATCATAAAACTGACCAAGAATCCAGTAAAAGAAAGTAAATACAACACAAATCGAGCTGGAATGGCACCTTAAAAATAAATAGATAAAACAATGATAGTCTTAATCTGATTATTCATACAACTGTTTGTTATATCATGCTCACAATCTCAATTGTGTTCAAAAGATATATGAGAAAGGAAATTGTTTCTATGAGCTTGGAAAAAAAATTTGAAATTAATTTTTGCCCCGTCTAAAATGATTGAGAATAATTTTTCAACTATTTATTAATCTATATATTTTAGCAGTCTTAATTGACAGTATTTTTATATCTGGTCACGTTTATCCTTGGAAGAAACGGCATGTTTAGGTTGTAATTCTGCATAAAATAAGCCAGAGAATAATGGATCATGGTTGATTGGTAATGATTAATGATTAGGGGCGTCAGTGGCCGTGACAATTTAGGCCTGACACAGTCCTCATCACTGTATGGCAAAGATCCCGGGTTCGAATCCAGCGGCCCTGCATTCGAACCCGACATACTTACAAGTGGAATTTGGAAGGGGGAAAAAATCAAACCACTAAGGAAGCACCGAGTGGTGAATATACAGTCTCGTAATACCTGAAGGACACGTTGGTTTAGCATAATTGAAACGCCTGACCAGGCTTACCTCCCTTATCGAATAGAGATGTGGGAATACTTATTTCCAAAAGTTCTTCACAACTTATAACAATTTATATTTTGATTTAAAAAAAAGGTTTTAGAAAAACGCAAGAAAATGTCTAAATAAATCCGATATAGCGGTGAGATGTTGTAGGTCTCAGCTTTAACACTCTGCTTAGGAGGTTGATTTTTATTTTTTATTTTTTTTTTAATTTTTTTACGAGGGTTCGCAACAGCAGAGATCATATAAACCCTCAGGGTGCCGGTGTTATTGAAAAAAAGCCCATTTGTAAGTATGTCGGGTTCGAATGCGGGGCCGATGGATTCGAACCCGGGACCTTTACTTTACAGTGATGAGCGCCGTGTCAACACCTAAACCGTTGCGGCCACCGACGCCCCCTAGGAGGTTGATATCAGGCCATTTCATTTAATTAAATAATTAGAACATTTAGAGATAAGACAAGAAATTTCAAGTGATATACACTCTCTCAATAATTATTTCATACCTCTAGGAATAGGGAAAGAAAACGATAAACTTAAGCCAACAAAAAGACTCCAAGGGGTGATAATTAAGAGCTCTCATTTATAACTCAGAAGGCTGAATATCCATGAGGCTAATACTGTGAAATATGTATGAGAAAGGAGTCGAATTGATGGAACATTTGTAACATAGTCGTTTGTTTGCTTCAAAGCCGCCACTCCGATCGTATAACTGAGTCTGTTCTTGTGTAAATATTTTCTATAACTGTGCTTGCATGTGCTGAACGGACAGAAAGCCTCTGACCCATTTAGGAAGAAACTTAATTATATGAGCTATCCCCAGTTACTTCCTCAATGATTTAATTAACTAAATATTGTTGAAATAGAAGGCCTACAGTTCTTAAAGAAAAACCCTGCATACATGTAATCCAACCAGTAAAATAAAAAGCAACGAGATATTAAATATTAAAATACTAAAAATGCATTTCTGGTTCGTATGTTTGATATTTAAGTGAATAACGAGTTAGAAAGTTAAAAACCACAAGATAAAAGAAATTAAGGCAGAATATTAAGTTTAACGAGTATAATGAACATAGTTAAACATGGTAGTTTCATATAACCTCATAGTTTCGTAGTTGAAATACCCTCGTTTAAAAAAAAGATAAACTTTTTTCAAAAACACGGGCACCCGAGGGTTGATATAACCTCTGTTGTTGCGAACCCTCGTTAAAAATAAAAAAATAAATGAAAAAACATCTATTAGGATTTTTTCTTTTTTTTAACGAGGGAACAACGAAACTAAGAGGTTACATGAACCCTCGCATTTTGATGTTTTTGAAAAAGTGTCCATTTGTAAGTATGTCGGGTTCGAATCCAGGTCCACTGGATTCGAACCCGGGACCTTAACCAGCGCATAAACCGTTGCGGCCACCGACGCACACTCAAGATGCTTAATTTTAAAACAATACACCAATTGGTCCCCAATATTAAAAGTTTTGATATGATTAGACATGCCCGTGCAGCAAAGATGTGAACAAAAATTTAAATTTGGTAATAGCGGAGCAATTCAATTATTGGGCAACAGCATAAGAGCTCGAGCAACCTCAATATTTTTGGCAATTTTCCGAATTTAACAGAATCATTAATAACCTTCACCTGTCTTGTTTAAAATGTGGATAAATGTCCTTCAACACTGAGACAGGGCAACGAGGTTTCAGAACTGAACTGATTAAGAGTCATCAAGATCAAATCAATAGGAAAAAATTCAAGAGTTAGTCCACGCATCCACTGGGAGCAGAAAGATGCGAACTACGAATGTTTTCATGTAAGTATTGGGTTGTCCGGAAAATAATGCAGGATTTTAAGTTTTCATTAAAAAAAATCTATATAAAATATTCTGTTTACGTTTACAGGATTACTCATTTGTNTGGGAAATTATTTTGATTAAAGAACATTGCTTTAAAGTAACTAGTTTCTTTTTTTTTGTTTAATACCAAAATCCTGCATTATTTTCCGGACAACCCAATAGAAGTTCATAAGTAGAAAACATTTGGAAACAGTGTTTTCATGCGCGAATGATGCCTGCGTTCCTCGTTTCTTTGCCGCAGTATTCATCCGAATTTTGTACAGGCAATATGAAAGTGGTTATCGCAGATGACTTTCCTCAAATTGAAATTATTGCTAGAATCACCATTGTTGCTTCGTCGTGTACACCAGGCAGATAAGACGGAAAAAAGAAAGCAGTTTCGTGAAGTTGCTCACTTATGGAATGATCTGCAAAATTATAAGGGCTACCATTTTCAGCATTTCCGATTGAACTGGAACACATGTAGTCATATTTTTAAAAAAATCACTTTTACGTCGGAAAAAACAGCAATTTCCGAGAGACAATTATACCTCAAGAACGGCCGTCTGATACAATACGACAAGTTAATAACAAAATTGCTCAATTTGCATTTTTCTTTTATCCGTAAAGTGTTGTATTCATGTTAAAAAAAATTTAAAATGTTTTTCAGTTCATGCATAAATGGGTAAAATAAAATTTAAAGACAAATTAATAGTAACAAAAAAGTGTTATACATTTTCTATCATTTACTGTTACACCATATATGTGTAAAGAGGGGAATAGCAAGTAAATTGAAGAGGATGTATTTAAGAATGAACGTTCCCATTATGAATGAAACCAAAACGAATAGGTTTGGAACTGCATGTGTAGCTGCTGACAGCATCCCTACGGAGTCCAACCCCGGCGGTCAGATAAGATCGAGGTCTGCTCCCGGACTGCCAACACCGAGGATGGTTGATTATTGAAACCTGCGGCAATTTGTTGCAAAACGCAAAGGCTGGGATTGCCGGTGGACTGCGAGAAGCGATAGGTTCAACTATGAAAATGGTTGTGTGCTTGTACGTATGGGAGGATTTGATTCGACAAATCCAAATCTTCTGGACGACAAGTATTTATTTTTCATAGTCCATGGTGGGCTAAAAAAGTCTTTGTTGTTGCGAAATTGTTCACACCAGTTTGCAGGAAAGATACCAACTCATTTGGATCCGTTCACTTCACGCAACTTCAAAATATTTCCGACGAACAAGACGGGCCCAATGGACGAGGGCAGACTCCTGACACTGTTTGGATCGTTCGCCAGTTTTCATGACTATTTGGACGACATCGAATTAGGACCTTTTCGCATGTTTCTGCTCCCAGAGGACGCGAGGCAAAACAAGGTTTTAGCATTGAAAAATATGTAGGCTTAAGGTCATGAATGAAATCAAATGCTAATATGTATTAGTGGGAAACAATTGTAAGACTGTATATTCAAACTTAAGTTGAGAACACAGGATGTGTTGAACGGGGTATTTCCTTCATACTGCAAAGCTCATTTGTTCTAATGAATTACCCAAGGGATTCTAGGTGGAAATCCATTGTGGGATAGGCATTCATTCTGATGGAGCGGTTTACAACAACTGCATTGTACAGACTGCTATGGGTCGCATGAAAATTTATAACCACATCAGCACTCCGATACTTCCAATTTTTCACAACTGTTGCAAGGAAATAACTACCGAAGATATTTAAGTGGAAATTTCGGAACAGGTTTTCGGAATGATGCCAAATTTACAGAGATTCATCACCAGGAAAAGGACCGACAACGAGAATCTTGCGCTAAACCTCATGAATTGCAATGAAAACACCACTGCTGTCACGTTTTACTGGTATAAATTGCCCGAGGGGGGACTTTGTAGCAGCCGACCTCTTGGGGGTGCTTTCCGACGGTTTTCAAGTGTTCCTTTTGACGAGGATTCATTAGAGTCTGTAGCGGTAATTTTTTTCCTCGGAGCTCTTCTTTCTCTGGCCCAGTTTCCTCTCTAGATTCCACTAACATAGGCCTAACATATTTTTATAAAATTGTTTATTTCTTAATCACGCTTTACTACCTTTACACGTTATTTATATTTATTTAACTCAAGCTTTTAACAAATAAGAAATTTATTTAATAGCTGAAATCCCAACACCAGCAGACTATTTTAATTAAAAAAGAAAATTAGTACAACGCTAGGCAATATAATGTAAGATGACTTTCGCATAATGTAAAGTGGTATTCCTTGGCAGGTACAATCTTTCTAGAAATCTGGTTATTCATCTTAATCTAAATACAAAAATTAAATCCATTACTTTTTCCTAATGAAAATTGATTCGAGAGAAGAAAAAACTTTTCAAATTTGATAAAAATCTTATGAACAAAAGTTAACAAATACGATTCCCAAGATTCGTTAATTACTACCTATAGAGGTTCGCTAGTAACACAATTAAAACATCAACTGTATAATAACAAATAAAGACTATACCAATCCCTCCTTACCTAACAGTTTCCAAAACTGCAATCGTCGGAAGATACCGCCACTTCCATTTTCCATCTTTCCTTCTTCCATGCTGATTGTTACTGAAGCCCGACGAAGGAGCTTCCTAGACCGACAAAATATTTCCAATTAAAAACAATATTTTAAACCATTTATGTTTAGTGGCCTAATTGACCGTATTAATTATTTCAATTAATTATTCTTTTTAAGTAAGGTCTTGGTTGAGATGAAACATTAGTGTCACGAACGGGATTCGCAGCCACGAATTAATTGAACTATTTTTACATTTCAAATATAAATTGTAAATAAATTCATTAGCGAAAAATTGTAATATCGAGTTCATGTATAAAAGCATTCCTATCCAGACCTTTAGTACATAATATCAACCTGGATATTGAACCCGAATCTCTCAGGTGATGCTGTCCTTAATGAAGAAAAGTCGTCCCTAGGTCGAAAGGTTCAGAAATGTCTGGGTGTATTAACTATAATGTACAGGTTACCTTTTCGCTGGACATTTCAAACGGGCAAAAAAAAATTCAACAGAAAGAGAAACAAATGTTTTATCAGATCATTATTACTATTATTTCTGTCAAAATAATGACGAATTTCGGCGGAAAGAATAATTTTGATGTGAAAAATCTTTAAAACTACATCAAAACATATGGGTACAAGAACGTAAAGTTAACGAAATGCCTTAATAACTCCCCAGATATTATTAAAAACTATATTACAAAAACCTTTTCGATATAACACAACAAACATATAATAAATCTGATGTATTATTTTTGCATAAACTATTTATAAGGGCGTCTTGGAGATATCACTTTCAAAATAAAAACGTAATTAACATTATGTCTCGTAATTCAGCTTTCTAGATTGAGTATTTTATTCTTAGAATAAATTCAGAATACATATAGCACTCTATTTTTAATTAAATAAGGTTTTTAGTTGAGATAAAAAAGTCAGTGTCACGAGCGGGATTCGAACCCACGATCTTCGGCTAGATACTCCGTTGCTCTACCACTTGAGCTATCGCGACTTCAATCCACTCGGACACTAACTTCCCATCTCAACCCCCACCTTTTGAATTTTCCCTCCTTTTATCCATTTTTCAATCCCGAATCCCGCTCGTGACTGACTTTTTTATCTCAACTAAAAACCTTAATTAATTGAAAGATATTAATTGGTCAAGCGGACCACGAAAACCTTGACTAACTCTATTTTTATTTCAGTAATAATGTGAACAGCCTTGATTATCCATTTATCATAAAATACAGATTTATAAAAAGAAAATAAACACTATCATTAAAAATTAAATACATACTGACAATAATAAAACCTGACAATTAATAAACAACACAGCATTTCACCAATACGTTTAAAATTAAAAAACTACTATCTATTTGTGTTGCACTGTCATAAATAGTGAGACAATGACTCCAGCATACAAAGGCTTCGGCTTAGTCTAGGTGACAGTTGTTTTATTTTTTGGAATTGCACTTTTATTTGAATTGTATTTTTAGAATTATGTACAATTACATTACATACCGAATGCACGCTTCTGTAACCAAGAAAAAAAATTCGACTGAATGAAAGAAAACAACAACTGCAAATTAGTTTTGTTTGTCTATCTAAAAAAAGCTCTTTTTTACATTTAGATTATCGAGATTTTTAAGATATCTCCTAACACATTACAATGATAGCACAGATAATAACATTTAACGTCTTAAGAGTTCAACTGTAATAGACAAAAAATGGGATTACAATCAGTAAATACTTAAACAGAAAAAATAATTTCCATCCTCGATCATTTGATTCGATTTCTTCAACTTTTAACGAAAAATTTGAAGTAGACTACCTGTTAGTAAATAATAAATACAAATAAACGTACATAATCAATAATCATACAGTTAGTTATCTTTTTTTACTTATCGCACGTGTAGTGTTTTCTTGATTCTCTTCGTTTTTTTCCCCAATAAATTCGAAACTCAATTAAGGAAAAATTTAACAAGGCCCTTCACGTGTTTTTAGACACCCAGAAAAAGCATTTTGTATAATGGTTTCAATTAAATTTAATTAATTAGTTTCAACCCAATATGAAAGGGAATTTGTGTGGCAGAGCATTCTGACAATTATAAGCCAAGTTGAAAGTGAAGGATGAGAGCGCCTGTGTACAAGTAAACTGTGTAATATGTACATACTGCTCACAATAGAGAAATGATTCACCAGCAAGGATCCCTTCTAATGACCCACAAAGCGACAAATAGTCAGTCAAATAGTTCATTAGTCGTCCCGCTGCCACTTCAAAAGACAAAGAAGAAAAGTAGCTTTTATTCCATATATATTTAGCAGTCATAATTGAAAATATTAATTATTGCAATTAATTATTGTTTATAGCTAGGATCTTGGTTGAGATGAAAAAGTTTTAACCTTTTCATCTCAAGCAAGTCATTAGATTAAAAAAAATAACTCTTAGTGGTCTGATTGACCAAATTACTTCCCGCTCATAACACTAATTTTTTCATTTCAACCAAGAACTTACATAAAAAGTATATTTTAACATTACAATTAATTAAGGTTTTCAGTTGAGTTGATGTCCGAGAGGATCGAGGTCACGATAGCTCAAGTGGTCGAGCAGCGGCGTATCTAGCCGAAGATCGTGGGTTCGAATCCCGCTCGTGCCATTAACTTTTTTTCATCTCAACTGAAAACCTTAATTAATTTTAATGATTTAATTGGTCAAGCGGACCACGAAATTAGTGAATTTAGTGAATTTAAAGTATATTTTAACGTTTCATGTCACCTACAGAAATAATTAGATCAAACAATCCACACTGCTGCAATCTGAGCATTTAATCAGTGAATACTAGGTTAGCCCTATTTTATCCCTGGAATGTACAAAATTTATTTATGGGAGAAACTTTATATGTCTAATGATGTTCATACCAGTGGTGTAGGAGCATTGAAACTCTCTAATAGATAACGTAAAAAATAAAACTTTTTGTTTGTTTGATATTATTTATTAATATTATTTTTTGTACAGGCGAACAGCTAGGTCGTTTAACCTAATATTTGGCACCATTACAATTTATGTATTATTAATTATTTACATACACGTCTTTTGAAACATCATGTACAAAAAGGTCTAACAACGGAACAAACAAGGAAGACAAACGGGCTTCAAAAAATGAACGAAAACAAACTAATGATAAAATGCAATTCAAATCCACATTTCTTTATAAATATTTAAATTATTTATCTGAAATGTTGATATATCGATATTTTTTGCAGATGTATCATTTTGCCCTAGCTTAGTGGAGTTGTGTACGTTAGGAAAAAGAAAGAATTAAGGAGAATACATCCTTTTCTTAGCGATTATCAGGACAGGTATGACAGCTATTGAGCCAGAAAAGGTGTTTTCACGGCCATATTTATCAAGGTACTCTCTCACTTCCAAGATACGCGTTATGACCCGTTAAGATCTCATATTTTCCAAGGATATTTTATCAACACGGGTTGTACATTTTCTCTCACGGTACGGAAATATAGGAACGTTGTTAATTTTCCCCTGGCTTAGCTGTCAGAAAGATAATCTCTCGTAATCAAATTTTGAACTCTCTTGTTAATGGTTAACCCAAAGCAATTATTTATTATTCCTTGAGAGTAATTTCAGAGTTGTACACTGAATACCGGCACAACTAACCGCTTCTTTAATTACCGTATCATATTCTTAACATTGTCTTGAAATTTGAAAACAAATTTTCGCGTCCAAATATGAAAAACTGAATATACTGCTTTTAACTCATAATAAAACCTCCCTTAATTGATTTTCATTTTGGTATTAAATTTAAGATGGAGCAATAGTCGTACCAACGGGATATGCAAACTGCAACAAGGTGGCCCCAATCGATTCAGCCACACTTCCAGATCTTATAGGAAATTGAACGCTGAGTAAAAAAGGTCCTATGAACCTGTGTCCGCAAACCATTCAGTTCCGAGCTACAGACAAAAAAAACCATGAAAAACCACGTTTTTTGACATTATTCGAGAAATTATTAGTAAACCGTTAGCCTGACCATAAAACAGCTTGAAACAACATCTGTAGAGAATTAATTTCTATGTCGAATGAGATTAAAACCAGCCTGATCAGCAGAAAATTTCATTTTTGGCGATTTTTTGAAGTTAGGAGGTGAAGGGGTACACAAAATTCACCATTTTTTATCGAAAATTCACAACTTCAACACCCTAGCCGTATCAAAAAATTCTCCGTTACAAACCTCGTTTGTTGGTGATCGAATTCTCCGTCACATTAGACCAACCCCATCCGATTCATGAAATATTCGAATTTTGGCTAATTTATTACTTTTCACCCAAATCGAATGTTACTGTTTTCTGCTGGGTACCCCTTACTGAATGAAATAATGTACGAAAAATCTGAACGGCTTACTTAACAATTTTAGAAAGTGTACGCATCTATCGCATAAAGGCTGGTTTTAATCTCCTTTTTTACTCAGCGTTCAATTTCCTATAAGATCTGGAAGTGTGGCTGAATCGATTGGGGCCACCTTGTATTTTACAAAGCTTGTGCGCATGAAACGATTACTAAGCCATTAAACAAATAATCAATAATAATTTATTTTTATTATATAATTAATTAGCTCTTCAATCTGTGAAAACTCAACCGCGGATAAAGAAATATGCTCAGTAAATGTTAGATCAATTCCTTCGTTTCGGTTCATTAGCTTCTGTGACATCGTTCGCCAAACATGTTGAAATAATCGAAAGTAAACCAGAAATAGATTGCTGACACTCGCGGATTATCTCGATTCGACTGTTTTGGGATAAGTGATGTGGTTGAAAAATGAAAATGGTTTTGTATTACTGCCAAGCTTTGTGCATTTATTACAACTTATTCAGGTCTCTATATTTATAAAACCATAATAATTAAAATTCACAAATGGACATAAAATATGTCGTATTACCCATGTTTATTTACGTACTTAAATGCTAGGTGAGATTTTAAATATGTACATACAGTTCACATCATTAAAATGTAAAAGTGATCTATGTGATCTAATGTCAGACACACTACAACATAATTGACTC